CGACCTTCTTCCCTTCGGGAGCAGCTCGAGAACAATCGAGGCGAAATTCACTCGCGGCGGCAGCCGGCGAGGAAGAACGCGTTATCTCGGATCGGGGATCTCCTCGGCTTCGACCGGATGTCGAGGCCTCAAGGTTTCGGCGCCGACTTTGACCGTGACGGCTGCCTCCGCTGTCGGCGGCAATTATTCCTGCTTGCTGATGCTTCCAATTGTTGTGACAGCCACGCTTTTTTACAAGTAACAGGCATCCTTCTTATATGTACCGTGCAATTTTTCCAAGGTCTTAGCACTCTCCCCTTTTTGTCTCATTTAACAATTTTTCTCGTTTAACCGTTTGAGCGTTTCGTGGAAATTGTCGCTTCGACTCTTGGAAAAATATCCAAGGGATTATTTTAAAGCGTTGAAATGCGTGAAATACGTGTGAAACGATACGAAATGATGAAAAAATTTAAAAAAGGAATATTAAAGGTCTATTCCATTCTGCAACTCTCTGCAATTTACAGAGATTATTTCAATTTTTCGAAATGGTGGATCGAAATTGCGAATAAAATAATTTGTTGGATAAAGAATAATGATTAAAATATTGAAACGAGGGGGGGGAATACTTGCATATAGCGATAAACTTTCCATTTCTATTTCGGAATAAAGTGAAGACGCGTTATGCGAAATGGCGAGTATCGATAACGTTAATGACAGCGCAGTTAGTGGCCGGTTATCTGCGAGGGAAACCACGCTCGAGATCGATGCATGCAGCCACGATCAAGGAACATATAAAATGCACGGGTTATTGTCGCCGGGATCCTTACCGACAGCTGCTCGTTAGTTGTTGCCAGCCGCGGAGGTGAACCAGTCGAACCTACTCCTATACTGGGTGTTCCACTTCAAACCGATTTTCCAAATTGAAAACTTACTCGTTTCAATATTCTTATCTTATTCAATTTCCCCTATTATTCGTAGAATTTTATATCTGTGAATCACTTCGAATTAATCCTCACTCCTGAGTGGATACTTTATCGATACAATTTCCATCGTTCGAATCGTGATTTTAATTTTTGGGGAACAACGCTGAAATATCTGCTGCTCATATTCATTCTACAAAAGTGTTAATAAAATATCGGATATTTACGGAGCGAACTTTTACAGACGATTCATTGTAAATACGAACGAAGAAGAAACGTTGAAAAAATAGAAATCCACGGTTGCACGGTGAAACAGGCTGTTTAGCACGCCAGAGAAACAGCAGAAGAAAGCAGAAGGCGAAGGCAAAGTAAAGGGACAGACCACGCCTTGCGCCGCCTTGGCAGTGGAGAGTTCGCCTCCGCTTCTTCGCCTCACCTCGCCTCGGGCATAACTAATATATCGACGGGCCTCCCTTCTCTCTCCTTTCTCTCCTTTCTTCTCCTCCTCGTCCTCTTTCACCTTTGGAACGATTCACGTGATCCCCGAGAACACGCGACTCTAGGCACAACAACTCTCGATGCAGCAACTTTCGTGCTTTCGTCTTTCACGCTCTGATTTCACGCTGTGTTTCTTTCTCGTTCTCGGTGAAACAGCAGAATACATTCGGAATTTTGAAATCCGTTGAAAAATTTAAGAAGAAATACTCGTCGAGAAATAACGTTTGAAAAAGATAAATCGAGTTTATTCGATGCGAAAAGCGTGCATACGTCTCTTTGAAACAAGTCAACCTTATCCTTGACTCGCATCACTTTATTTACGATTTTTACATATTTCCACAAAGAAGTCGACCTTATCCTTGACTCGTATCACTTCACTTGCCATTTTTACGCGCTCCCACAAACAGTTCGGCCTTACTCTTGACTAATATCACTTCGTTTGCATTTCTTTTTCTCGGTCACTTTTCTGCAAGATAACGAATCGATCTTTTCTTGCCATGGAAACGAGTCACTATAATTAGTAATTCAGGAAGTATTTCGCGACTCATGTTCATTTTTTTTTTCTTGCATCTCTTGTCCATCTCAAGATTTTCCTTTTTTTTTTTTTTCGTTCGTCCTCCAGCATGATTGGATGCAAAGATCGCGCGACAGTCTTAATCCAAGATCGAGGTGATTGAATTTAAAATAAGGGAAACACGCGTTCGACACGGTTGCGACTCAATTAACGACGGTTAAAGGTTCGATCGTGAATGGAATGTCGGCGGGCAGCCACGGCTGGTGTCGCGATTGCTGGTCTGGAAAATTTTCTAGTAACCCAGTGACACCGTGCCGCGAGACCTTCGTCAGGTTGTTCCCATCCGCGCAACACTCGTTTGCCAATGATACGATCTCAAGGGTATTAACTTAATCTGCTGGCGTGACCGGCGACACGCGTAGAATGCCAATCTTCTTCCTTCTCTCGCCTTTCTACGAATCACACAAATTTCTTTATCTATCCAGGAAACGATGTACGAGGTATTCTGAAAAGAATTTGATCTATGTTCAATTTTTAATGGTTTAAACTATTATGAAAAGAAAGAAAAAAGAAATAATATAAATGTATTTCTGATGGTTTTGTAAAATTGTCAGGATATAACTGGTATTCGTCAAGTAATAAACACTTTCTTCACACTTTTTTTTTTCTAATCAACCTATCAATTGTCTATGCTACATCTTTTTGAATATTGTTCTCTATACCTGGAGATTAGTCATCTTTTTTTGAATATCGACAATTATCATGGACAAGGAATTTTCTTCGTATCCTCCTCTGCTTAGAAATTGTAATATATTGTAAATACCTCTCTCTGACTCTATTTCTCACTTTTACATTTTCTCTAACTGCTCATATCATGGTCTCTATACCTGTTCTACTAGTTAGAAATTCCATCAGCAAGAGAGCAAATTCTTTTCTCAAAGAAAATTTCTCTCACTTTTTTCCAATATCAACTTTATCGTGGCCATAAAGAATCTCTTTCTCGGCATTCTTTTCCAAGTTACTGTTATATATAGAGTCGTAGTTGCATGGCTGGAACGATTTTCGATAAAGAACCTCTCAAATCTATAATCTCGAGAAAGGAATGGGGGCGTCACGTATCGACATGCAGCGATTGACGAAAGGTTCCGCCGCTTCTCACAGTGTCACTGGGTTACTGGATAATTTTCCAGGCGAGTAAGCGCGCCGCGTGAGAGCGAATCCGAGCTAGGTGCATTGCGGCAACGCGATTCGCTCGAACGTGCCCCGGTATCGGGGCACGAGAGCCTCGTAAACTATTTGCGTGATCATAAAAATCCTACGGAACATTAGCAACCCGTTTACCCGCCTCGATATGGAGAACGTCACGCGCGGTTAATTGCCAGTGAACCCCGCATCCGCCATGTTTTTTTTACATCTTTTCGATTTTATTCCATTTTCTCGGATTCGAAATCGAACGTCTGAGAAAACTTTGTGCCAATGATCGATCTATCTCTTTGTTTTCCCTCTCCAAGGAAAGGATTCCAGTTGATTTATTAGTGAAAATTTCAAGGATCGTGATCATTTTCAAGAGTCCACAAATTAGATTGGAATGATTCCATCATCCGTTATCCCATCTCACCTATAAAAGATCAATATTCGGTTAATCTATTGTATAAAAAAAATTCCAAGGATCGTAAACATTCGGATAATTAGATCAAAAAAGTCACACGCGAATAGTCGCAGATCCAGAGACAATTCGATCGACAAACAGCGGCCGTTCAAAGCAATCAAGAATCTCAAGATTCCCGCATGGAGCATGTTAGACGCGAATTAATAGGCCTCATCGAGCTTCCGTTTCCATCCGCATGGCGGTAAAAAAGCCACTAGAGAGTAACTAGGCGGACCGATTACGAACCGATTCAGAGGGAGGGGGGATCGTCGTCGAATAGCGCCGCGTTGGCCGCCGCAGGGCATGGGATCGCTTTAATCGGTAACTCTCTCGGCTGGTAAATAAATAACATTGTATTACACCGTCGCGGGCCTCCGCATCTCACGGAAGACGAACGAACGCTCGCTTCGTTTTCCCAGGCGTTGCACTCCCGTTATCGTTATCCTCTCTCACGTATATACGAATCGGCACAGGCAAACGATTCAGCCTCACGAACGAACGTTCACGGTGCTAACGGTGATCGATTTTCCGGCCACGGGAATTGTGCTCGTTCGTCTCGACATTGGCGTGGCTGATCTACGAGATTTTCTGACGTAAAGTATCTCGTGAACAGATGTTTCGTAAGAGAATTGAAGGAAGATATTGAAGATGTCACGAATTGAGAGTTCAATCTTTCGCGAACGAGTGCTATTTGTTTAAAGTTTTGAAAGCCTTGGCAGATCTGGGATATTGTGTATTATTTTGAAACGAGGAAGAAAAAAATCTATTTTTATGAAAAACTTAATTTAATTTTATTTAATTATAACTGACGTCGATGTATATCAATCATATATCATAGCATTCATATTCAAATATGAAGATATTTGATCAAGATTTTACCTCGAGATCGGACATAATTGATGATACTTAAGATCGAAGCTTCTTAGATATAAATACTTGATTTAAAATGTCCCCTGTGTTAAGAATTAATTTCCTCTAAGTAAAGTTCGCGCACCGGTTGAGCATTAAAACGGACGAATATTTTTCCATGAAGAAATGAGTATCGATAACGGTGCCATTTCCCTCGTCTCCTCCTCCTCCTCCTCATTCGCTTCTTCAATAAATTACTTCCTCTCCTCTCTATCTTCGAAACCAAATCCTTTCATAAGTTTCCACTTTCGATTCCTTTTAGATCTAAAATCGTGTTCCACGTATAAAGTAATCTCTTTTGGAATTTTAAGAAAGACTCTCTTTCTTCTTTAATTTTATCCCTTCATTCAATGATTTGGAATAAGGATTCTGTTTCCTTTTTTTCTATTTTCATTTTCTTTCTTCATCCAAGAACTTCCTAATTCACAGATTTCTATTTTCGACCCACGAAAACCAAAAATCTGTACCATATTTGGAGTTCAAACATTCCAAGAGAGGGCTTCTCTTCGGTTACTTCTTTTCCATCCCTCTTTTTTATTCCCTTTCTTTCCCATCTGCGTTCGACAGAAAACGATAGTTCGAGGCTCGATCGTTTCGCCGGTGGAAATTGTGCGTTGCCGGTACGTTGGCGAAACGGAAACGAAGGGCCGCAATTATACTAGTCGTTACTTTTCTCGCTGTAACCAGAGTGACTATGTATCTCGCGGTCGATTAACTGTGACCTTCGCCGCTCTAGAGAACGTAGAAACTCGGACGGACTGCTCGTACGCGCACGCGTAGTGCCTCCTTCTATTTATGTACAGGGTGGTCCGACTACCTCGGACTGCCGTTTCGAATTTGTACACTACCGTGTAACTCGTGTTTCAACCATGTTCGAGATAATGGCAAACATGCACGTGGTGTAGATAATTGAATATATCGTGATCGATGGGAAACGGTGTTGCTAATTTCTCCAACTTCGATCCTACTGTATCTATATAGAATGGATCAAGGTTAATTCTTTTTTAACGCTGGGAATAAGATAGTTGTTCTTACGATAAAGAGTTTGTTTCTTTGTTCCGTGAACCTGAAATATTGATGAATAAAATTAAAAGGATGATAATTCTTTTTATTTAATGCATGAAAGTTTAATTCAAAGGCAGAGAAATTTGTTTTACCCGTGTTGTTTTGTACTTTGAAGAAATTGGCATCGGTAATCTTCTCATAATTGTAATTCAAAGTCGATCTTCAAGGAATCGAATTATTCTCTTCACGAAAGCATCGACCACCAAGAACCGTTTTCAAGATATCGTCGAACAGAGCGGAATTAATTACCTCGATCGAGGAATCACTGTAATAATCCTGTACGCGATCGAGGTCAGCCCGGGTGAAAAAGCTCGCGTATCAAACCGGTGCAATTATATTTGCAAATACGCGAGTCCCTTGCATGCGTGGCAATGCAAATCGAGCAGAGACCTTTGACTGCTCGCGCCATCCTGAAAATAAACGATTCGTTGATTCGAGAAACGAATTATCAGTTACGTTGATCAATTGCAAAATCAAATATATATATTCTACCATCTTGCAACCATCTCGCAAATATATTCAGCAATCAATATTCCTAATTTAAAAAATTCATGCTTTGAAGTATCGTTTAACAATCTTTCTCATCATCAAAAAAAAACCATACCGAAGATCTTCTCAAACAACACTTAATAACCTCTTTTGTTATCAAAATATATCACCACATGCTTAAATTTATGCATCTTTTTAAGCATCATTCAATAATGTCTATTCGAATTCAAAAAACACTGATATTCAACGATATTTCTTATCACCAAAAAACATAACCACACTTTCAAGCTTGTGCATCTTCTCAAGTATTCTACTCTACTCTACTTCGAAAAATTCACCTTATCACCATTTAACAATCTCCTCACATGAAAGAACAACACACACACTCAAGTTCGTGCATATCATTTCCTTTTTACATCAAAGAAATCAACTTTTTACATCAAGATCAGGATGTGCTTTTAAACGGTAGGCTAATCGGTACACGAGCGCCAAAAGGAGAAGTGCAAAGTGATGCAAATACTTTCTGATACCTTCTATCGGTATCTATTTGGACGTGTACCTTCCTCGTTATCCGCGAAACAGACGTTGACCGCAACACCTGCGGAAATCACGAAGGATCACGATTGAGCTGGTTACGCAACTATAGGAGTCTTAGAAGAGCGTGATGGCTCGAAATCAATTAGGGATATACGTTGCACTGGCGCCAATTAAGTTTTCTCCGGGCGACAATGATAAATTGTGCCGGTCGTCTATTGCGCTCAGTCGATTATAAAGGTCATCGAGTGAAAGTGCGCGCCGGTTAATTAATACCGATCGATACCGCGCTTGATCCGCTACGATAATAATTACCCACCGTGCGAAGGTATGCGCGAAAATTTCATCATTGAGATCGAATCGAACTACGCAATCGATACGTGACGATTTTCATCGATAAACGTTCGCCATCTTGCTGACTGCTCTCTTCTAGAAGTTTTTGAGAGGTTTGTGAAAGTAAAAGTTACAAAGTGAAATTAAATATAACGAATGTTATAGATATTATAGAAAATTCTACAGTTATATATATAATTTAAAAAATCCTAGTGTTGATTGTATTACATAGTGATGTGCATAGTGATTTGTTATTATTTATTTCGAGAAGGATTCAAGATTTTGTCAGAATCTGTCGTCGAAGGAAAAAGATAATGACAAAGGGTTTCTTGATTGTGTAGAAAAAAAAAATTTATCCAATAAAATGATGACAATTAAAAAAATTGCGGTATCCTAAAAAGGAAAGGAAGAGGAATAATGACTGGTTGCGCGTGCTAAATGTGATATCTGCATACAGAGTGTTTCAAATTTGGATATACAAATTCTATTCTTTCTTATTCATTATTCCATTATATCTATATTTTCTTATAAGACGATACAAGAGAGCAATTTTCAAAACTTGATTAATTAATATGCATGTTCAAATTCTTTATAGATAAAGATAAAATATGATCTATTATGTGTATTCAAAATCATGAACTGTAGAAATAAATCATGATTCAAATAAAGTTGAGAAGCACTGATTCAAATCGTCGAATGTTTGATCACGAAGGAAAAGAAACTAAATGCAATCGAGATTGTTGGAATTCGGGGTTTTTCAGTGGACAGAGGGCAAATCGAGCAAAGCGAGTCGATCTGGGTCGGTCAATTGCAACAATGCTCTTTGTACAGCTTGTGCAGCTCGAGGAGCAAAGGTACGGTCGACGTGTGGTGGAAAGATAGCTGGATACTCGCCTACGTGCACGTGCCGTGCAGTTGGACTCTTTCGTTCCGTACCATTTGTTGTTACATTTTCCTCCTTCGACAACCTGGATCCACTTTGAATGTCCCTTTGAACACCTCTGGGCTCGCGACTCGTTACCGTTACGCGACTTCGCAGCGTATTTGCTCCTTCCTCCTGATTTGAATTTATCGGTTTTATTGGAATGGCGATGAGCGTTCCACCAGCAACTTTTCCGTGTGTAAATACATATCACGATTAGAATTCCTCTCGAGTAAAAATACCAACTCGATGTAGCAGAATATCATTTATTTTTGTTATCTATATCGCAAAATTATTGCAAATATGAAACTTGTTTAATCTCTTTTTTCCAGAAATCTACTTGTATGGTAGCCCAAAAGTAAATAGTTGAAAGTATGAATTTTTTTTACAATTTTTAATTTGTAAATTGTCGATCTTGTACTGGCTTCAGAATATTTTTTACGAAAGCAAATACACAAGGTCCAAGGACAGCAAGCATAGTTTCGAACAGGAAAGAAAGATTTTGCAGCTCGATTTTTCCACGTGGCCGAGCCTCTCCAGGCTACACTCTTCCCACGAATTTCATTCTCGATAAGCGGACAAGATTTAACTAAGATCAACGTATTAGTACGGGTGAGTAGCATAACATGGTGGAGAACGGTACATGAGACCGCGACAAAGGCCGAGGAGGTAACTTATGGGTATGAACTCTGCAAAAGGACTTCCTGTATGACCTCTGATCGGGAAACAAGGCCGTGGCCACGAGCTAACTCGTTCCAGACATTGCAAATGCGGAATATTCTCACCGTGCTCCTTTATTTTGCTCGTTATGGTCGGTCACGACAGAAAAACTTTGCGAAAAACTGCAATTACCCATATTAAGTATCTACTTACTAACTACATCATCGTTCCTCTTTGAGAATCTTCGAATAATTTCATTATTTTCTAACTAGCCAGCTTTTTCATTCTCACTTGATTCACACTTAAATTTATTTAACTCCTCCAAAGAGGAGGATCTACTAAAAATTCAACTTTCGAGAAATTTTATTTCTACTAAAATTATATTCACTTGGCTGTTCACATTCAAAGAATAAAACTTGATGCTCAACTGCCAGAAAATTTCAATTCTAAATTCTAAATCGATTTACACTTAACAATTCATTTACTTGTCCACAGTCAAAGAAGATTTAATTTTCAATTTCCAACAGAATTCCAATTCTCTTTTTTTCAAATTTTACCTCGCCAATTGGTACTATGTCGCACGATTTTGAAGAAATACCTAATTTTCGACGTGTAGAGAAGCGGCACGCGCGACAGTTCACCAAAATGGCCAAAGAGGACGCGGCGAGGGATCGAGTAGGGGGAACCACTTTGCTTGGCAATCGCGTCACGCTCGTTTACGCTAGTTTACGCCAGTTTACACAAGCGATATTACGTTAAGACCTATCTTTATGAGAACCGACAACGTCTCATGGGGAAATATCCCCGGGTTCCAACGTATATTGGTGAACAAGAAAAAGGGAGAGGAAGAAAGATGAACGCAGGCGTGCCGGTGAAGAAAGCTGCGTGCTCGGTGCAAAGCGAATCCCAAAGCGAAGTGTTTCCTTCGAGAGACGATCGTGGCTAAGATATGACGTCCGACTGGCTGCCAGGCTTGAAGGGCTTCGCAAACGATCGGTCGTTGAACCACGAATCGTTCTTGAAGCGTTACTCCCCAGAGGTGGGACGTGCAAATTTCGCTGGCCGACATTTGCCTGTCTGGAATTTGAGCCTCCTCTCCTCTAAGCTATTTCGAGCTTGTAGTCTCGTAGCTTTAGGAATTTGTCGAGGATATTTCTCACTGTGGAAATTTTGAGCATCGCCGTTCCAGAAATTTTCTTCGATTTTATCTCGAAATATACGCAACGCCCTTTCATTTCGATTTCTTCCTTTGATGGAAATAAAGTGGTAAATAATTTTTTCGAATCGATTTAAAATAATTGTGTAAAATTTATCATTATTTAATTTTGCAATCACGATATAAAAATTTTCTATTGTACTTTCTATATGGTGAAACGAAGGTGATGACAAAGAGGATTCATGACGATTAAGATTCGTTAAAAGGGGAAAAGCGTGAGCTGCGATCAATTTTCGCGGTAGACACGCGAATCCTACGCCATTGCGGGGTAAGACAGAGCGACGAGGAGGAACAAAGCGACCCACGCTGCGGGTATCATCATAGTCATATTCATACACGGAGCGTAAGGGCATTTCAGCACTGGGACAATGGCGGGGCCGAATTTTTTCTTTTTCCTTCGAGGCTCGATTGCGCCGTGCCTTCTTTGTAGCCACGCGTCGACTGCCAATAATAAAGCTGCCTCCTTTATGAAGCCTGCTGTACACGGCCCCAACGGAAACCGGGGCCACTCTTTGTCTTCGAAATCTTTCAAACGTTTACCTCCCTCTAAATTCTTTTCTGTTGCAATCTTGAAAATGTTTCCACGTGTTTCGAGGATCTCGCATTCCAAACGCGACGGTTTGAAATCCGAGAACAAAGTAAAGTAAAAGGATAAAAAAAAAAGGGAAGCAAAGGCGCAGAATTATTTGAAAATAAAAGTAAAAATTTTTTACCAAAAATTAGTAAGAAAAAAGAAGAAATTTTCACAGTTTGAGTTATTTTATAAAATTATAAGACTTGTTCGTGCAACATTAAAATAATTATGAACAAAAGTTGTTTATAACTGAACTATTGTTTAATGTGAAATAAAATTTTCACAAATGTGATTACTTTGAATATTTCTTTTTTCTCATATCATATATTCTATCAATATTGTTCTATTTCTTTAGTAGAATCTTTCAAAATTATTCCACCAGTATATTAACACTCTCCGCATTAAACTTCTGATTTATTTAACATTATAATTTCAGAATGTAGAGAATCAGTTTGAGAATCAGTTTTCAGACTAAGTTAAAGGATTGTCGCTTTTCGATTTTTTTCCATCACATGGGGTGCTCGAGGTAAATCCCATAGGCTTGATTCAGCGAGATTCTGTGGACGGAGGAAGTTTGGTTGGCGCGTCTTCAGCATGATAAACGGTGGCAGGTACAACAATGGGTTCATTACCGAAAGTTTAGCCCGGCTTGGGCCCCCTTGGCGGATCCTGGGCCGGCAAAGGGGTCCGGGTCGGTGACCTGTGCACACGGATGGTTGGCTCGCGGCACCGACCTTTGCGAAAAGTACACGTGCACTGAGCAAACGTTCCTTCTAACGTGCGAGAAACCTTCTTGGAAATTATTCCTCCTTCAAATTCGCATATTGAAATATACAATTGCGCAAAATTGTACGTATAAAAAAAAAAAATTACGATTTTTAGAAAATATCGAAATTAAATTAAATCGTGGAAATTCTGTTCCACGCTCTTAAATTTTATTTTCTTTCTTTTTGCGCGACGGGATACAACTTTGAGAGGGGAGATACAATTTCCTTTTCGTTACGGTAGGCGATACGTAAAAGAGAATATTGGAATCGATGATTTCCAAGCCGTTTCTGAAACTCGTGCCAATTTCAAATTACCTTTCGACGAACTCGTAAGGTGTAATTTTCTTTTCGTTACAGGCCGTGGTAGCAACATAGTCGCGGGGAAAAAAAAAAAAAATAAAAAAATAAACGTATGCACGTCCATTGTGCGGGCACGCACCAAGGGTTTTTGTTCCAGCGTGTGGCGTACCACGGCTCGGCAGCAGCTCGTGTCATTCACACGACGTCGTGACCTTCTTGCAATAAAAGACCGCGAAAGCTGCAAAACTCAGTTTCTTTTCACTCTCGACGAAAATATCCCGTTGAAAAGAATTTCTTGGAACTGTAGTTCAAACTTTCCTTGGAATCCCCCTCCCCCCTCTTTGCGATCCTTCAGAACAGAATTCGCTTGAGAAAATTCTCGATACTTTCGAGAAATCGTTTATTCTTCGTTCGCGTAAAAAATCGACAGAATCGGCTCAATAATTTAAATTTAAAGAATAACCATCGAGGATAACGAATCTCGATAAGGTTTCAATACCATACCTCCTCCTCTTGTCCGCCTTCGACGGAGAGAAGAAAAGAACGTATAAGAAAAAAAAAAGAAAAAAAAAAAAAAGAATGGACAGTTTCGATTTAACATCGAGCGTAAAATTAATGATCGTTTACGATTATTAATAGCGATGGTAAGGCCTTCGACCGCATGAATTTCGCACGGTTATCGTCGGACGGGGAAGCCTCGACCTCGCCTCTTGTAATTGCCGCGTTGTACCGTCCCGAGTGATAAATAATTTGCAAATATACCGCAATCGACAACATTGTACATAGGGGGCGGCATCGATCGAGTCACCGCAAGATTTATCGATTCGTTCGATTGCCGTTTCGGCGACCTTGGACTCCCTGCAACCCTTTGTCTCGCTTCTTTTTGCACGCACACCGCTCTATTAGTCCTCTTTCGTGGACAATCAAATTGCGTGCTATCGTTTCCATCCGTGATAAGATTTATTGCACTCGGTTTGTCGAGGATAAACGTTGTTTAAACTCCGCTCGTTTAAATTGCAACCACTGACGAAACGTGTTTGTTCATACAGGGAGCATGAGAAATAAGAGTGGAGAGGCGTGTACATACTCTCTCTCTTTGTATCGAATCAGTCTTATTTTATTTTATTTTTTTC